CAACAGCTGCAAGATGAGGCAAAGAAAAATAATATAAGACTAATAGGTATCAACAAAACAGCTGGAGAGAACACAAAAGACATAAAAAGAGTGTTTGCAGAAATAGTAGCAGAAAATTTCCCAGGATGGGAAAAAATCTGATATATAGTTAACTGAAGCATATAGAACTCCAGCAAGTGATAATCAAAATAAATCATCACCCAGACATATAATAAGATGCCAGAAATTGAGCAAAAGAACAGAATCTTAAAAGCTGGTAGAAGGGCAGCGAGATAGTTCAGCAGACTAAGTGCCTGCTTAGGCATGTTCAGGAACTAGTGTTCAATCCCTGGCACCCCATACTGTGCTGGCCCTGTCCCTGGGCTTGTGGAACCGGCCACCAAGACTGGGTGTGGTGGGGTATGACTGTAATCCCAGTGCTAAGGAGCCTGAAAACAGGAGGATCACTATGATCATTATGATTACTACTAAGTCTGAGCTGCATGATCAGATCCTGTACCAAATACATTAAAAGAAGAAAAAAGCCGATAGAAAAAACCAGATCACCTGTAATGGAAAGCCCATTAGAATCATGGCATATTTCTTAACACAGACCATCAAATCAGGAAGAGGTTGGTGTGAGATACTTGAGGTCCTGAAAGAAAACAACTTGCAACCCATGTTGCTGTATACTGCAAACTTGATAGTTTGATAATTTAATGGAGAGATTAGGTACTTCCATGATGAAGAACGACTGAAGAAATTCATGACAACCAAACCAACCCTACAAATAGTACTGGCAGATATTTTAAAAAAGACAAAGATGACCACAGCTTCAACAACAGCAGAACAACCAAGCAGAGCAACAATTAAGCAAATGGGAAAAGTAGGGATCATACAGCAGGAAAACAGTATAACAAAGATAAACCAATACATATCACTTATCATTATCAATGTAAATGGGCTCAATTCACTAATCAAAAGAAGCAGATTGGAAGAGTGAATAAACAAAATTCAACAATACGCTACATACAAGAAACACTTTTAACTCAAAAGGAAATTAATAGATTGAATGTCAAAGGATGGAAAACAATACTCCATGCGATAGGAACTCAGAAAAAGTACCTTTTATGATAACATCTAAAAAAAAAAAAAGAAATCCGAGTCACCCTTACAAATGAAGTAAAAGATTTATATAGTGAAAATGGTAGTACTCTGAAAAGAGATTAAAGAAAATTTCAGAAAATGGAAAGATATTCCATGCTCCTGGATAGGAAGAAGCAACATTGTGAAAATGGCCATACTCCCAAAATTGTTATACAGATTCAATGCAATACCAATTAAATACCATTAGTATTTGGTATTCAGATCTAAAAAAAAATTCCTAAAATTCATCTGGAACCAGAAGAGACATAGAATAGCAAGAGCAATCTTGGGTAACAAAGGAAAGCTAGGAAGCACCACAATCCCTGACTTGAAATTATACTACAAAGCTACCATGATAAAATTAGCATGGTGCTGGCAAAACAAAACTTGAGGATCACTGGAATAGATTAGATGGTGTAGACAGAACTACAAGCACACTCAGCCACCTTACTTTGACAAAGGGGCCAAAAATATCCATTGGGAGAAACATAGCCTCTTTAATAAATGGTGCTGGAAAAACTGGCTTTCCACATGCCAAAGGCTTGAGATAGACCCATGCCTAACACCATGCACAAAACTATAGTAAAATGGATCAGATTTAAATATTAAAACTGAGACACTACTTCTGCCTCAGCAATCATTGAAGAACAGTAGCCATGGCCCTACACTATCCCACAGCCATGGGCCACAAGGTGACTAAGAATGTGAGCAAACGAAGGCACAGCTACCATTGTGGACACCTCACCAAAGGCACCATATTCATGCGGGACATGATCCAGGAGGTGTGTGGCTTCACCCCCTGTGAGCGGTGAGCGGCACACCATGGAGCTGCTCAAGGTCTCCAAGGACAAGCACATCCTCAAGTTCATCAAGAAAAGGGTAGGGATGTACATCCATGCCAAAAGGAAGCATGAGGAGCTGAGCAATGTGCTGGCTGCCATGAGGAAGGCAGCTGCCAAGGACTGAGTCCCTCTGGAGTAAAGCTTTGCAGAAAGTTAAAACAAACAAACAAAAAACCCCAACTGAGACATTAAATCTTCTGGAAGAGAAATTACATAGAAACCTTAAGGACACGGGGGTAGGTAACAAGTTCATGAACAAAAATCAAACTGAGCAGGAAATACTTCAAAGAATCAACAATTGGGATCTCATCTTTTTGACATTTCTGCACAAAAGAAAACAACAGAATAAAAAGAAAATCTACAAAGTGGGAGACAATTATAACAGACTGTTCATCTGACAAAGAACTTGTGTCTAGGGCTGGAGAGATGGCTCAGTGGTCTAAAGCACCTACTTGAAACAAGCTTGGCAAAGCACAGGGACCGCGGTTCGATCCCCAGCACCACATGCCAGCCAGCCCCGCCCCCTGGTGGGCTGAGCTGGCCAAACACACACACAATAAATAAATGTAATAAATAAAAATAAATAAATATATTTAAAAAAAAAAAAAAGAACTTGTGTCTAGAACATATGAGTAATTAAAAAATCAGGCCCCCTAAATTCAAAGACCCAATCCAAAAATGGGCATCTGAGATGAATACACACTTCACAAAGGAAGAGTTACAAATGGCAAATAAATATATGAAAAAACTTTCAAATTCATTGGTCATTCAAAAGATGCAAATTAAAACAACACTGAGATACCATCTTATGCGGGAAAGAATAGCTATCATGAAGAAGTCAGCCAATAACAAAAGCTGGAGAGCTTGTAGGGAAAAAGGAACCCTTATCCACTGTTGGTGGGAGTGCAGGCTGGTTCGACCATTATGGAAATTATATGAAGATCATTATGGAGATTCCTCAAAAAGGTCTGATTGGAGGTCCCATTCAAGTCAGCTGTTCCCCTCCTAGGTACCTTTCCAAAAGAACTGAAATCATCATTCCACAGTGATAAATGTGCACCCATGTTTACAGCAGTGCAATTTGTCATAGCTAAATCTTGGAAACAACCTCAGTGCCCATCAACTGAGGAATGGATAAAAAAGATATGGTATTTTTTACACCATGCAGTATTATTCAGTTAAAACAGAAGACAAATATGAGGCTTTTGTAGACAGATGGATGCAGCTAGAGTCTATATTGGTAAGCAAAATTGAATGTTTTATTTTTATTTTTTCGGTAGAACCAGGGATTGAACTCAGGCCCTTGCACTTGCCAGGGAAGCACTTGTTCTACTGAGTCATCTCCCCGGTTCCAAAACTTTCTTATGACTTCTTTGTTAATGTTTTTTCATCTTTAAATGAATCTTACATGTTTATATGTGGTAATCTGAACAACTAATTTAAAGATAGTATCATGTAATACAGCAACCATTGTTGAATTCCTATTACTATGTTTAGTGATATATTCTATTGTTTCTAATGCTGTTTTTTCTATCACTATTTTGTATTCTTTTAAAAAAGTGCCTTATGAGAAAAATCATGTTAGAAGGATTACATTAACACTTCTTGCATGGTCTGTGGTACTGAGAACACTGGGTGGGACAAAATAAGCAACCACTACATAGGAACTGTCATTGTTAGAAACTATTGGAAATGTATTTCCTTGGTACTGAATTGAGGGCTGGGACTGGGATGAAACAAAGGAGGTACCTGAAATGCAAAATTGTAGCAGATACTGACCAGTACAATGGAAGAGCCACCTGAGGACGAGGACCTTTGCTCCCCTGCCACTGCCAGGATGTTCATAAAACAAGTGAAAGCAGCCCCATCAAGATTTCCTCTATAAGCTTTAGTCCTGAACATTTACTCTATCACCTTTGGGGGCAAAATAATATATTCTTTTTTTTATTTTTATTTTTTATTTTTTGGTACTGGGGATTGAACTCAGGACCTTGCACTTGCCAGGCTAGTGCTTGTGCTGCTGAGCTAGCTCTCTGGCCCCATAATATATTCTTGAACAGTCAAATTTTGTATTTTACCTTAGCAGTTGCATCCAAATGAATTTTCATAGGAAACTGAAAATAACTATAGTAGATGGAATAAATACATGCAAAATAATATTACCTTGAATGCTTCCATTTCAAAACTAGTATATTTTTGTGATTTGAAAAATGTGGAAATAGGGCCAGCCAAATAGTTCAGCAGGTTAAAGTAAGCAGGCGCAGGAACTGGAGTTTGATCCCTGAGCCTGCTGTGCCGGACCCTCCCCCGGGGTGCGCTGAGATGGCAATTGAGACTAGGCATGGTGGCGCATGCCTGTAATCCCAGCTCTTTGGAATCACTATGAATGTGATCTAGTAGTGAGACCCTGAACACCCTGTAGACTCTTCCCTAAAATAAAAAATAAATAAGTAAAAGGAAAATTGTGAAAAGGAAAAAAGAAAAATGTGTTATGGACTTAACACTTAGGCAGATAATCCAAGAATATATGTATTCTTTTAAATAACCACAATAACATACTGTTACAATATTCATCCTTGTTAAACAGGATTTACGTTGATAAATCATTAAGGAGGAAAAGAAATTCAAGGGTGGAGGCTGCAGCTGAGTAGTAAAGTGTTTGCCTTGCACAGGTAAGGCTCTTGCTTTGAGCCCTAGCACTACTGTCGATACAGAAGTGCTCAGACTTTTAGATTTCAAAACATGTTTTTTTTTTCAGATTAAGGATGCTGATGTGATAATATCTGCTATCTGTATCCTTCATTAGAATAGAAATGAAAGGCTGTGTTTCCAATTAGTTGTAGACAGTTAACAAATGAAAAAATGCAAAGTCAATTTAAACTGATGTCTCTCTGTAATTTACAAATATAAATAGATATAGAAAAAAAAGGTAGAATACAGAAAGTGACAAAAAGGGGCTAGGAATACAGCTCAGTGACACAGCAGACGTAAGGCCCTGGGTTCCAGCTCCAGCACTGAAAACAAAAGGCTAAGAGATAGTCAGGGAGCAGCTTTTTCTACTTACAGGGAGCCGGAGCAATATCTTGGGAGAAGCAACAATGAGGGGCTTTCTGAAGTCCCGCACCATTTGTCTTCTAAGCAAGTGGAAATACTGGGCGGGAGTTGTGGGGTGCACCACAAACATGTTCACAGTGTCGCCATCCACTCCCTCTTCTTTGCTGTCACACAGCTGAGACAGAAAGGCAAGGAAAATTCAGATAATTTATTTCAATCATAAATACTACACACTAGTTATGTGTGTGCATGTATTTTCACTGAGTAAAAGATACCTCTTTCCATTAAAAATACCAGAGGATAAATTTATGACCTGTTAAGTATTAATCAAAGGAGAGCTGCAGTGGCTCTGTTCATTGGTCTAGTTCAGTGCTGTCTAATATACCCATGCACAGACAGAACTGATGGAAAAAATTATCCAAGAAGACTTTTAAAAAAGAAAGCATGACAGAATCTCACTGTCGCTCAGGAAAAAAGCAAAATTATAATTTGTGCGTATGTATGCAAAATCAAAAATCAAAAGTAGCTAGTAAATAAGTTGAAAAGTTGGGATCAAGAAAATTAAATACTCCCCTGGCCAAGTCAAGATTTCTGTCATTGCCAGTCTTATGGAAAACCCACTATTCTTATGAACTATTGAACTATATTGGAATATTTTGCTGAATTCAGGCACCTACAATATTTAAATGACAATGGAATACCCTTCTTTGACAAAACTAAACAAAAAAGGGATACAAATGAACGACCATTTTGTATCTCTATGTTCAAAATAGTTCAGATAGATACACAGCTTCATTCTCTTGGATCATTGAATAGAGAGATTTGTTCTAATAGTGTTTGTAGACAAGATGTCATGTCTGCATCTTTTACAATGAATAACCACTAAGACAACAATAATGCAATGCATTAATTAGTGAGACTGTGCTAGTAATTGGTTTTGAAACTATCTCATTGCTATTTGTTTCTCAATAAAATTATTAAAAAGAAAGAAAGAAAGAAAGAAAGAAAGAAAGAAAGAAAGAAAGAAAGAAAAATTAAATCTCCCTCTGCACTCCTTGGGAGATGCCCGCAGCCCTGCACCCTGAGTGGCCTGAAGCTGGAGGAAGAGCCCTGAAAGGATGGGTGCTGGCATGATCCCTGGAGGCTGAGGCAGTGGCTCTGGAGGAGGAAAATTAAAAAGGAAAACAGATCCTTTCTGCAGCTCACCATATAATTGCCTTTTGATGCTAATGTTTCTGGAAGAACCTCGAATGCCCAGGGACTTTCAAACCTTGCTGCCCATAATCTTCAGTCTTCTGATCGCTTTAGGCCTGAGATTGCCAGGTAACTGCCAGTCCTCTGTGAATCAATAATCCTGCCCAGACTGGGTCTGAGGACAGAGGACCTGGATGCACTGGAGCACGTGTACCCAGTATTACATAGTATCCATCTGATACCACTCATGAGTATGGCTCCATTCTGTGTCAAACATTGACAATGTGAAGACTGACTTTCTAATTAAAAACCACTGCTAAACAGGGTAAAGCACTGGCTTTATGGTACTGCTCATGAAAGCCAAGTTTGTGATGCACCGTGGAAGACTCATAGCACTTTATTCATGGGATGTGTTCACTAAATCTCATCTGAAGTTCCGTAGCCATAAAAGATTCCTAACATTTCTCCCATTACTTTTGATATTTGCTGCCATAGACTTTCTCTTTGCTTGGAATGTGATGTATAATTGTAAACTGTGGAGAAACACAAAGTGTACGCAAGGTTTCAAAGTCTCAATACTGCTTAAAATATAAGCCTGTGAACATGGAAAATACAAAAA